CCACACCCATCAGCCTACATGGCTCAGGGCAGGGTCAGAGGAAACCTCACGTCCCAAAAGCCTAGGAGAACACTGCAGAAGGCTGACCGGATTGACAGTAAATGTCAAGCCAAAAAATAAATATTGAAAATTTGACTGTGTATTATGTTCAAACTCCATTATATACATTTAAAAAACCCTGAAAAATATTTGCAACACATATGGCAAAGGGTGAATTTCCTTAAATGCTAAGGCGGTCCTACAGTAAGTGGGAAATTGACAAGCCCAAGGAAACCAAGCAAATAGCAACAGGCTGTCTGCAGAATGGAGCCACACATGGCTTCTAAAGAAACAAGGAGATATGCAGCCTTACTTATCATGACAGAAATGTGGAGTCAAAAAATGACATTTTGGTTTAAATTGGATAAACATCTTCAAGTTGTGTGGCCCTGTGGGAGAAACAAGGCTGCCGGGAGGGGCTGTGCTGGCTCCAGTGGAGTGGAAGGCCAGGGCCCCAGTGTGATTTCAGGGGATGGCAAGTCACATTCGGTGAGCTCAACAGGCCGAGCAGGGTGCATGCTGGGGTGGGTCTCCAGTCAGAATCAGTTCAATCTCTGCTCCACCACTTTCCAGCCGCATGGCCACGGGCAGTTTACTCACATTCTTGGAGCCTCCATTTTCTCATCTGTAAGCTGAGGTCATCATGTGTTCCCAGGGAAGATTGAGATGTGGTCCTGGGAGGGGAAGAATTGGAGTAACACCAGGTTGAGAGAGTGAGACAGGGCAGGGGTAGGGGCAGGGTAGGGTCACTGTGGGGAAGGGGAGGGAAATGTGAAGGTGGGAGATGCATCCTTGGGGTTGAATGAATTACTTGTGAAGCAGGTATAGTCAGGGCAGGCCTGGCACTGCTGCAGGAAAGGAGTGAAGACAGAGTTGCCCTTGGAAACCACACTTTCAAGGTTATTTGGTGGTGAAGGAAAGGAGAGAGCTTAAAGGAGGGATGGGGGCAGATAGGAAGGTGGTTAGGATGGGGGAGCTGAGAATATCCAGAGGCTGTGAAAATGGCCTCTGGCCCCCAAGGGTCCTGCTCTCCCAGCAGAATCTCAGAGCTGGGCTCACAACTAATTCTCCTGGATGACCATCTTTCTATGACCCAACCTAGCAGGAGTCCTTGTAGGGTTGGGCATACCCAAAGCCCAACAGACAGGCCAAAACCCAATTTTCCAGGAATTAAATGGAGGTGGTAGCATTTGACCCAGAGCTGTATGGACAGCAAAGCCAGAGGAGAAATGGTCTGAGGTGCAGTGAAGAAGAAATGAAAACTCTGGACTAAGACTTTCCAGGGAAACAGGAAAATCCCAGGGCCACAGCTGGGAGTAAACCTAAAACATGTGCTTGCGGAATGGTGCCCGACACACAACGGGCACTCGGCAAACATTTCTCAAATGCATAACCTAGAGGGAAGCTAGCCAGACTTAAAAACAAGTAGCTCAAGCCTGAGCTAATGAGAACAGTGAGGATACAAGGGCAGGGTGGCTTCAAGGCCAGGTGCTGGTCTGGCAGTGCAACTATGGTAGAAAGGTCATTTGCAGGTCTCAGGACTGACCAGGGTGGCACCATGCTCCTGCAAGAAAGGTATCACCTCAGAAGGAAGAAGACGACTTGCTGGGGGCAGGAGCTGAACCTAGTCTCCCTGGATTCAGCAGGGCAGATTTTCTTGGTGCCTTCGGCTGCCCGACTCCCGTGGAACAAGAAACCCTACTAACCTTGGGTGGAGAAAGCAAAGGTCTTAATGTCTCCAGGTCTCATGGATTTGAGGGTGTGCGAGGGTGTGGAAGGTGGGGGGTGAGGGAGAAATGAGGGCAGTTTTGAGGACAGCAGGAACACACATATGCAGAACGCCGCCAATATCTGCCTTCATTCCCTAGATCCCTGAGGCTTCCTGTGGAGACATAGGCCAGATTTACAGAAGCATCTGACTGGCTGCTGGCCAGACGATGGGTGGCTCCTTCTAAACCTATACCTACCTGGTCCAGTCAGCTATAGGGCATATTACATTGGAAGTAGAAATGGGACTGGGCAAGCAAATTAGCTACCATCTGGGTTGTTCTGCCTGACTGGTGAGATGAAAGAGTACCTGGAAGTGGGGTCAGCCACCCTGGGCTCCATCCATTCCTAGTGAGTAGTAAGAAGCCTCAGTTTCCTAAATTATAAAATGGTAATAGTCATGTTTGTCACAGGGTTGTTGTGAGGAGAAAATGAGATAATAAACAGGAGAATGTTTTATAAATCATAAATATAAAGGTGAGTTGTTTTATTTCACTCCCAAGGGAGTGCATGTTCTCAAATTTTACTTTACAATGGACCTTTGTCCAGACCTCAGCTGATGCTGGACACAGGTCAGATCTTACACTTATGTCCACAGCCCATGAAAGAAGATGCACACAAGTCTTTCTGCAGAATATACTGAGAGCTGGACCATCTTAGCTCCAGTTGCAACTCTGCCTTCAGGGAAAGGTGGTGAGGCCATCTGGGTCTCAGTTTCTCCATCTGCAAAATGAATTGACATGATTGCTGTGCCCAAGTCACAAACTGCTGGAGGATTAAATAGTTCCCCTTTCTGCCTGTTTGCCTTCTCTGCTCCTGTTTTCTCTTTCCTCTTCTTTTGTCTGGGGCTTCTGTGCATGGCAGCAGCCGAGAAGGAAGGAGCCCTTTAACAAACCCTCACTCCTTCAAAGTCCTCTAAAACCCTGGCCATCTCTCCACACAGCCCAATGCCAGATAAAAAAGTGGACTTTGCAATCCTCTTTAAATGCTTCAAGTATTTCAGGAACATTTTCACAGCTGGGTTATAAACCTTAGAGGTTGTCCTTTGAGAAAAATCACAACTATCCTGTCTCTATGGTCAGAATGGGAACCTAGCAAAAGTTTGTTGGAGGAAACAGAACTGAGCAGCCCTCTGCAGAGTGGGGCTTCCTGCCTCGATGGCCCCTTCCCTTTCCGCTTCCAGCCTCTTGACCTCAACATGTTCCTTCCTCAGCATCCTGACAGCTTCAGTGTCCATACTTTGCATGTCTAGGACAGATTCTCCCCTCCAGTGGGCTGCCTAGCTCACTGCCTCCTGGACCCCTTCCCGCCGGCCCCTGGAATCCTGGGACCCAAGTAAGGAGGGGCTGCTGATCCTGAGCTCTCACCCAGCCCTGCAGGCCCAGGTGTCATCTCTTGCAACAGCTGACGGTGACGCCTCCACCACTCTGGTGTCACTTTTAACACTGCACATTCACACTGCCGGCTAACTGTCTGCTCAAGGAGGCCCCAGCAGAGCCCTGTGCAGCCGCACCCCACATGTGGAGTTGTTAATCTGGCAGTTGTTCAGCAGGTTCTCTTGGCCTCACCTCAAAATGTGTTACTTCTGGAGAAAATGACACCATGGAACTACACAAGCTCTTCCAAGAAGGAAAGACAGGACCTGCTGTGCTGCTTCAGCTGGGAGGGGGAGGGGAGGCATTGGGTGCCATGGTAAAGGTCTGGGGCCTGGACCTCCACGCAGTTCCCTAAATCAGAAGAATAAAAAAAAAAAAAGGAAGAGGGAAATTGTGCCACCATAGCACTTATAGTCTTTTATCAAATCTCCATGTTTACCATGTTATCAAATAAAACTTCATGATGCAATGGTAAGAAACAAAAGCAGCAGACAGAACCTGTACACAATGAGACCTCAGTTCTGTAATGTGTGCCCTAGACATTACTGCTGTTCACCCTGATCCAATTCCTCTCTACTTCCAGGCACTTAGAAGAATTTCACTTCCTCACCCCTCGACATCAGGCACGGCCATGTGAATAGCTCTGGCCAATAAATGAGAGGAAAGTAACCCCGGCACTTCAGGGTGGCAGTGTTTGATTTCTGGCGCTCTCTTCCCCAGTTCACTCTCCCCAGGCCCCTGCTGCCTTGAGAGTGTGGTTGATATGGAAGGACCAGAAGACCACAGGAGCCGCCGTATGGGGAACAGCACCCCTGACTGTTAGCCACCCGGACTCTGACGAGCTGGGTCTGAGCAGAAATAAACTTTTGTACTGTTAAACCACTGAGGTTTTCCTATGGTTTTCCCTGCAGCATGATCCACCCCATGTTGACTGATACAACAAATATATAAACAAAATAGATGTCGTCAGGAAACATTGCAGTTACTGTTTTTTTTAACTTTTCTAAATTTTCCAAATTTTCTGTAGTCAGTATGTCTTACTTTTATTACTTTTTCTTTCAGTTTTATTGAGATATAATTGACACATAGCACTGTAAAAGTTTAAGGGCTACTTTTATGATTTAAGAAAGCTGTCAGCCTTAAGCGTAGCTGGCTGTTTTAAGTAAAATATGGGTCCTTGGTGGTCTGCTAGAGACTTTAGCTATGTCATTTCATTTCATTCTCTCACACACACACACACACACACAAACTAAAAAAAATTCCACTTTAAAAAGGAGAAATCAGAGGTTTAGAGGGACAGGTGCCAGGTGCTTTACAGTCATTATGCCATTTATCTGGTCAGAGGCTGGAAGTATTTTATTCCAGTTTTAAAGATGAGGCTCAGAGACGTTAACTGAGTTTCCCACGGTCAGTCCCGTAGGGACTGAAGGAAGCGACACTGAAACACTGATCACGGTGGTGGTCTCCTTCTATCTCCTTCTACTGGGTGCTTCTATGTGCAGACCCAGGCATCATTATCTAATTTTATCGTCTCAGTAATTCTATGGTATAGGTACTTGTATTATCTCGACTTTCGAGATGAAAAAAATAAAAAGGAGGCTCAGAGAGACTGAGAACTTACTTAGGGTCATATTAGCTAGTAGTTTGCAGAACCAGGACTAACATCTTAGTCTGTTCGAGTTTGCTAAAAGCAGAGGCAGTGCAAAAGGTGTCTTTAGATAACATACACATGGACATTTTTAAACTAAATTTCTATTTTTATTAAAATATTTATGCAGAAAAATTTAAAAGCTGAACGGTACCGTGAAACTGGTAATATAAAGTAGCAGACTTTACCAATCAGCCCCTCCTCGGAGGCAACTACTTTCAACTCCTTGGGCCATTCCTTCTGACATTTACTTCCATATCTCTAATTATCATTCCTTACCTTCATTTTTAGGTACTTTTTATTGGCTTCCTCCTGCAGAAAATTTGGATGCTGCACCAGATGCCACATACAAACTACTTTTCCCTTCAATACAGTTCTATCACAGTTGCTATCAGTACTGAGTTTTTATACTATTATAACTTCATATACATTATACACAGATAAACAAGTACTATATGATGGTTATAATTGCTGTCTTCTACAGTTTTTTGTTTTTCCTGAGGTTAGTGATTACCTCAGTTTTTCATTTAATTAGTTTTTGACATAACGTTACAATTTCTTCCCACAAACAGGTCTAAACTTCTAGCAATATATTCAAACCCATCTGAGAACCTATCGGTCTTATTTTTCTCTGAAGTCCTCTGTCCTCCTGCTCCTACCTGGCTGTGTGTACATAAGTCCTTAAGTTTGTCTGCACCATTGCCCTGAGAATCCCCTTCATCACTCTTCTGCATTGGGTTCCTTGTTTCTTAGATCCTAGGCCATCTTCCTTCTTGGTTTCACAACCTTCATTTGTTGTCATATGCATGACAGTAGCTTCCTTGGAAACTGCATATGGGAGTTCAGTTTTTGGATAATTGATTGACAGTTTGGCATGATGCACACATCTTGGTTAGAAATCATTTTCCCCTAGAATGCCGAAGGCAGGTCTTGTGGTGTTGTGGGCTAGTGTTAAAAAGTTCAGTGCCATTCTGGTTCTTGGTGCTCATTCTGTGACTCTTTCAGTCTCTGAAAGCTTCTAGGGTCTTCTCTTTATCTCCATGTTCTAAAAACATTAACAAAATTACTTATTCTGATTAAAAAAACTTCTAATAAGTTTTTAGCACCACACATTGACACACACCTTTTCATCCAGAACCAGGGTGGAGACACTAGAAATGCCGCGTCCTGTCACTGTGCTTCCGACACGCCCACCAGTGCAACGGAAGGAGCGTCAGATGGGAAAGGAGGAGGTGTCGGGAGGTCCTTTGACCATTTAGTTAGAAAATTCAGGAGAATCAACGGAAAAACTCATTTAAATGACTAACATAATTGATTAAGTTAACTAAATTCAAAATTAGTATTCTGTTATCAATGGCCTTCTTATCAACGTACAGACAATGACTAGTACTAAAATACAATACCCATTGCAGAAGAAACCTAGAAACAAACTTTTAAAAAGTGTACAAAATCTATGTGAAGGGAACTTTTTAAATACTACTGAAGGATACAAATGTGAACGTATACCACATTCTTAGCTAAAAATATTCAATACAAGGATGTCAGTTCTCCCTAAAGTAATCTACACATCAATACAATCATAATGAAATTACTAACAGGATTTTTCATGGAACTACACTAGTCAAGTTAATTCTTTGAGTAAGTTGATGTAGAAAGATATACAAGCACAATTATCCAGAAAAAGTTTGAAAAAGAAATATGAAGGGCAGCAATAACCCCATCAGATATTTACATGTATTTTAAAGCTATTGTACAGTCCAATAATTACAACTATTATACACACAATGCAGATATAGATAATTTAGAAACTATAGCACCCAATACATACAGGAAGTTACTATATGGTCAAGATGGCATTTTAAAAGCAGGATTGATCCAGTTTTGTTGTTGAGACAATAGGCTACCCATCTATAACAGAAATTAATTTAAATCTTCACTTTGCATGTTATACCAATAGTTTCCACAGGAATCAAAAGTTTAAATGAAATAATAAAATCCTTAAAATACCAGAGAACATGGAGGATATGGGGACAGTCATCTACTCAGTCTCTAGTTTAGCAATGCCTGACAATAGTGAGAAGTCTCAACCTGTGGGTTGTTGACTGAATAATGGATTGACTGTCAGGTTCTGTAGAATGACTGGACTAGATTTGCTACATGTAATTGTTTGGTCCTACCAGTGTTAAATATTTCTTATTTTGATGTAATATTTTAAAACTGGGAAATTTCACATAAAAATCTGGATTTCAGACTTCCCCTGGCATGTCTAAATGCCTGGGATCTCATTCCTGCATGGAATAGTCAATTGAACTACTGCCCTTTGCCCCAAGGATAGGGCCATATGGGGTCCAGGTTCTCAGTTGGAGTGGGGGTGAGGGGATGAGGCTGCAGTTAGGGAGTGGTGGGGTGGCTTCAAGGCTGTTGTGGTCATTCAGGCAAGAAGTCATGGCAGAAGGAACCAAAGGAGAGGCTTGGCCAAAGGGAATTGGGGGACTGAGTTCACAGGGCTCAGAGACAGATGGGAGGGCTATGTAAGTGTGTGTGTGTGTGTGTGTGTGTGTAGGGGAGAATAAGGAGGAGAAAGAGAGGGAGGGGAGGAGGGGGAGGGAGAGAAGCAGAAGAAGGCTGAGGAGAAAGAGCAGGTAAGCTGCTGGAGAAGGAACTGAGGAAAAACCCCAAGATTCTCACTCATACCCACTTAAGTGGGTAAATAATGCCCATGAACATGTAAACCAGATTAGGTCGCACTCCTACTTAAAACCCACCTTCTTTGTCTGAGGCATCTGACCACTGCGCATTTCTCTGATCCTGTCCTGTCACTGTGCTGACCTTGCACATCGAGCCACAGTGGCCCTGACTTGGGCCATCCCAGAAGCAGCCAAGGGTTTTTTGCCCCACGGCCCTTGTACTTGCTGTTCCTTCTGCCTGAGACACTGTTCCTCTGACCCTTTACCTGGCTGGTTCCTCCTCATTCATCAGGTTTCCTCTTAAATATTCTTTCCTAAAAGAACTTTCAGGTATACTCGTAGAGGCTGAAGGACAGCAAGAAGGCTGATTCCCACAGGGCCCTTGGGACCATGGAAAGACAGGTAGTGCAAAGGAAAGGTTTGAAGGAGCTGGGGGTGAGGGCTGGAGAGGTACAGTAACTGGATCTGATTTACCTCTTCAAAGCCTGCCTCTAGCACCCTGAGGAAAGAGACCCCAGGGCCAGAGTGACAGCAAAGAGAGTTTGGATACTTGCCGTGGTGGGAGATGGCAGAGACGGTGAGACTAGAAAGAAGTCATTATGCATTTTGTGAAAATGCAGGCGGGTATAGGGTGAGAGCCAGGTGTCAGGCAAGGTAGTCAAGGGGGATTACTTGGTTTCCAAACCCCAGCGGAGGGGAGGGTGGCAGTGCCAGTCTGTAGGCGGAAACACCAGGGAAGAAAGAAAGCATCAGGCACGTGTTGGAAGGAACGTGAGTCTCACTGAGTTCCTTCCACTGAGGACCTGGAGAAGACCGATGGCCACGGTACTATAAGGCGGCGTGTCAGCTGGGCAGCTGGCAGCACTGCCGTTCTTAGCTCCATGGCTTCTGGCCAGGGGTTGGAGAGAGGTCTGAGAAAATAATGCCATGGCAACAGAGGCCCTGTCCTGGCTTCAGCATGGCGAAGTGAAAGGGCATTTTCAGTGACCTAGGTGGGAGGCAAACTGCTACCCCTGATCCGTCAACATCATCTGAAAAGTGAGGGTCAGATGACAACGCATTTAGCATGCAGGGTAGCCAAGGAATACATATAAAGCCTACCGTCTTTGCAGGCCCAGCTGCTGCTCCAGGTCCCACCACCCAGGCTTCTCGCTCGTCCTTGCCCCTTCCCGGAAGGCTTCGGGGGCGCGTTTGTGGCAGGTGGGGTGTGCGAGGGGGAGGGGCGGGGCATTTGCCTGCACCAAATGCCAGGTGCCTGCACCAGATGCCAGGTGCCTGCACAAAGGTCACATTGCGCCGAGTCCAGTGTCGGTGGGGCCCGTGCATCCCACCTTCCCGGCTCGCACCGCCGGTGCCTGACGCCCCCTGCCTCGGGGCCCGTGATCCCCACCCAGCTTCAGGCCCTGAGGGGGCGCCTGCCACTTCGCTGCCACAGCCAACGCGCGGCCCCCGGAGCCAAAGGGCCTCTTTAATTGTTTCCAGAACGGGTGGCATTTAGATCAATTAATATGCAAAGCAGGAGTAAATCGTCTCATTCGAGGGCCCCACGCGGGGCGGGAGCCGAGGCATTTGCTATGCAGCGAGGTCGCGGCCCCCGCCGCGTGTTTATCTGGGGAAATGGAAATCCGTTTGCACACAAAGCCACCCCGCGGCCGGTTGCGCCCTCCACTGCCCTGCCGGCGCCCTGCCGGCGCCCGTCCGGACCCGAAGCCCAGGCTGCGCAAACCCGCTCAGGAGGCCGGGTCGTCTCTGGCCCAGAGCAGAAGGCTGTGAACCTTGGGGCCATGCGCGAGCCCTCTCTGGGCAGCCATACTCAACTGGTACTAATAGAGTTCGTTATTGTCAGAGAATAAGATCCTTAAGTGCTACAGGTCGGAGCTTACATGCTCATGACCCATAATTATGCTATTGAGCCTTGAATAAGGCTAAAAGCCTCCCTTCCATTACTACACTTAATCTTGTCAAAATCACACTAAGAGGCAAGTCCAATAATTCCCATTGTACAGTATAAGAAACAGAAAGAGCAGAGAAGACATTCACACCAGGCCTGCCCCTGACCAAGCGTGTAACCACCGTGGAATAAAACCCAGGCTTTTGTTACTTAATTTGTTAGTTCTCTTCTCCAGGGGAAAATTGCCTCTATAGTATAGGCAAAGCTCTGTTAGCCTGGGTAGAGTTACAATACTTACTCATTCTTCCTGCATTCAAGAAACTTAATGTACTGCCTACTACATCAGCAGAGACAAGTTTAGACTTTGAACCACCACCTGCCAGGCCTTCTCAATCCACAGAGAGACAAAAGGAGAACCTGGGAGACCAGAGAGAAGAATACCTGTACTGCTCAAGACTCTGGGGGTTCCACAACGAAACAGGAGACGCCAGGCCTGGTGGGAGACATGTAGTAAGAGCACCCTGAGGGAAAAAGGAGTAGGATAAAAAGGTAGGGAGTGTCAGGCTGGCCTTTTTCAGGAGGTAACATGTACTCAGAGACCTGAAGGCAGTGAGAGAAGATTCCAAGCAGAGGTAGTAGCCTTGGGTCAGCAACACGAGGAGATGGGCAAGGCTGGTGTGTGGGAGCAAAGGGAGAATGAAGGGCACAGGCAGAGAGTGGTGAGGGTGGGTGGTGAGGTGCTGGGTCCCGGCCTGGCTGCCTACTGGAGCCTGGGGGCAGCCTGGGTATCATGGATTGTAAAGCTCCAGGAGATTCCAATGACAGCCAGAATCGTGGAGGCCTGGCAGGCTGTGGTTCAAAGTTTAAACTTGGCTCTGCAGAAGTTATTAAGCCTGAGGAGGGTTTTAAGCAAAGGGATGACATGACCTCACACAAAATGTTGTCAACAATTACTTGGATTGTGTGTGGAGACCAGTAGAGAGGCAAAGATACAACTTGGGACACCAGGTGGGGACCATGGCAATCCCTCAGCGACACCTCTGAGCGGTCTGACCCACCACTCTGACCCTGCGGTGAACGCCTCAGACATCTGGATTGGCCCAGAAAGATAAGAATAAAGGACGGCACTTAGGTTTCTAGCCTGAGCAGCTTGGTGAATGGAAGGACACTTGCTGAAAAGGGGAACCCTCTGTGAGGTCTGTGTACTTGTCCCTCCCTCTGGGGCAGCAGGTCTCAAAGGGGAAGGAAGGAAGATTTTCAAGCTGTAAGTGCTGCTGGACTCTGCTTCCCTCCATTCACACACACCATGTTCCTGTGCCTCCTGCTCTGCCCCTTAGCCAGGGCCGGAGCAGTTTGCCTTCTCTGGCATCAGACAAGCCAAGCACAGGGTTACCCCATGCCTTCTGCAAAGTCTCAGGCAACTTCCATTCCATGGTAGCCCGAGCCCAAATCCTACATGCCCAGTATGGAGAGACCATGGACAATGCTACTGCAGATAGTCTACCCTCTATATGCTGTGCTCATCAACTGTTTCCATTTTCAAAAATCTCATCTTTTTGCTTTCAAACAAGTTCCAAGCTCAAACAAGCTGTGAGATTTGACACTCTGATGACCTACTGGGAACCTTCGTGGAGCAGCAGGTTCTGTGCTCTGTCGAGGGACGTCCCCAAATGGGGCAACAAGTCCATATCTAAGGTATTTGCCCACTCTTTGAGAAACTTTGTGATGAGCTCTTCATTCCATGGTGACAGCATCCACAATGAAACTGCTTCATCACAACAAGAAGCAGCTCACCACCAGACAAACTCAAAGCCCTCAAGAAAAAAAAGTGATGACTTTTAAAAAAGATGTCATTTCTCCAGATGTCTATGGGCTCTTGTCACACATTAAGGTTTCCCAAGGTAACAGCATGGAATGTAAGAACCAGTATATAGCCTTCCTGAAATTCTACTACAGCTTCCTACTGACCAGAACCAACACAGGAACAAGTCCATGTTTTGCTCTCAAAAGATTTCTGAAATTAAATTTAAACTGATTTGTTAAGTAGCCCGCTCTTTAGAAAAAAAGTTGCTGAATTTTGTCCTGTATGCCTACAGGTATGCTGTGCACATTCACACCTGCTATGGGACATCTGGCCTACGTGTAAGGGAAGGCTGAAGCCAGCGCATGCTCTACCTCAAGCTGTACCCAGGCGCTAGGCCCACGCACCTGGAGGAAGGTGTGCCTTTTCACGATGTACTCAAAGGCACTGTGGGAGCTAAAGTGGTAGTGCACATATCAGGGGCTGCTGGTTGATCTGTTCCCGCCTTCCTTCTCAGTATTAGAAGTGTTACCTCGATCCAAGGTCACCTAGAACAAAGACAACATTGTCAAACCTCCCTTGCAACTCAGTATGGCCACGTGACTAGGTTCAAGCCAATAGAATGTAAACAGAAGTATTATGTGGTAGCTTCTGGGAATGTTCTTAAAAGGTTCTCCCCCCTCTTATGACTTCTACCCCCTCCTTTTCCACACAACATTTTGTCATAGAAATGTTCAGATAAACAGAGAAGTTGAAAGAATTATATTGTGAACACCCGTATACTCATCTCCTGGATTCTGTGATACTTGTTCTGTCATCTACCTATCTCTCCTTCTATCCATCTCTCTACTCGTCCATTAAAAATCCTATTTTTTATTTATTTTACTAGTAAGTTGTGAACACCAGTACGCTTCCCTCCAAATACATCAGTGTATGTTTGTTTACGATATTTTGATGTACAATTTACCTGTAATGAAATGAAAAACTTTAATTGTACACTTGGTCAGTCCTGATAAATACATCAAGATAAGGCTCATCGCTTCATAAAATTTCCCTCGTGCCTCTTCCCAGTCAATCCTTGACCTCCTGCCCATTGCTAATCAACCAATGTTCCGATTTTTTCCCACTATTATCTTTCCTGTTCTAGAATTTCATTTAAATAAATTATACAATATGTCTTCTTTTGTGTCTGATATGTTTTGATCATAATAACGTTTTTGAGGGTCATCTTTGGTGTTGCAGCTATCAGTTTCTTTTTGTTGGGGAGTACTAGTCCACTGCGAATATATTTACTCTCCTTTTGATGGGCCACTGGGCTGTTTCTGGTTTGGGGCCATCATGAATAAAGCTACCATGTACTGGGAAACAATTCCCCGAAGGTCTCTTGCATTTCTGTACATCTTGTGCGTGACGCCCCAACTGCTTTTTGTTGTGAATTATATTTTTAAGTATATTTCTAATCTGAATAGTCTTGGAGAATGATGTGTCCCATGGTGGAGTAAAGGGCATGTATGCTTATTTCTGACTATCAACAGTCCAGGTTCCTTTAGCTCAGGGATCCTCTCTTGTAATGCAACTCACTGTATTTGTAGCATCCATATGAGGCCTTCCACACTGTCCCCCTGGGACCTGGGGACTGGAGAAACTGACACAAATATGCCGATGCTCATGCTGCTTGCTGTGCTGTGAGTGAAAAAGTCCTTTGTCTTTGACCTGTGGTTGTCACATCTTCTGCCATCCTTTATAAAAACAGTGGCAGATTCACTTGTTACCTTCCGTGTTGGGTAAGACCTCAGAATCTTCATAGTTCTTGATTCTTGACACTGACATTCTCACATAAATATTCTTGTGAACATGTTCGCCTCCTTCCTCTTTGTCCTTCCATCCTGCTGCTTGGAGTACAGATTTGGTAGCTGGAGCTGTAATCATCATCTTGGCTCATGAGGACCAGGGCTTTTCTCCAGAGGTACCAATACAGTAGAGTGCAAGGATCCCGAGTCCCCGAGGCCTTTTCACATAAAATTGCCATAGTAGCCCTGGAATCTTACAGGGGAGAGAAATGCCTTACTTACAACATTGTTACTGTGGCATTTTCCAACCCCATCTAATGCAACCCACACCACAGCTCATCCCTCTGAGACATCTTCCACCACCACTCCCCCTTTCCCTGTTCACGAATATACCTTGTACTAACCTCATTGAATGGCTCTGTTCATGCCTCTAGTCCTTTCCACAGTAAGTGCTTCCTGCATCCAGTGCCTAGCACAGTGACTGACATCCAGTAGGTACTTAGACAATGGTAGTTGACAAGGTGAACAGATCTGTACAGGAGAGACTCAGGTTAGTAGAGATGGTAGAAAGACATATCCTCAATGTGACAGAGCAGGAAAAACATTAGATTGACAAGAAGGGAGTCCAAGCTCTAGCCCTGTGCTCGGTGACCTTGGGCATAGCTCCTACCTCTCTGGGCTCACTTCCCCAGGTATGCAATGTGGGCTTTTGCTTAGATGCTGAATGTCCAGAGGCTCCGCTGATTCTTCAGTCCTGGGCTAACCCTGAAATCTTGAGTGTTGCCCTACCAGCCATACTTCCCTGCATCTTCTCTTCTATTTCAGGCTGGACCAGAGGTGTCACTTGGTGGTGGAGGGAGAAACTACTCCTTGCTGGACCCAGAACTGCCCTCCACCACAAGGTCGGGGAAATGTGAGTGCCTAGGCAGCTTAGCAGCTGGCAGAGACTTACAGCTTTAGCAAGCTCAGCTGGCGGCATCAAGTTGCTGGGTGCCTGGTCACCACGTTAATCTGCTCTTGTTACCACTAACACCAATTTGTGAGTAGACGGCCAGGGTCAGTAAGGCCAGCTGCCTGACAACTGGAGGCAGTATGCAGTTTGATTTTTATGTCGTAAGGCTAGAATTAGAAATTAATTCACAGATTTCCGTTTCTGGAACTGCTTCAGATAAGTAGCTCCCAGGACCTAGCCCAACCAGCTTTCTTCCACCCTTTCAACACCCAGGAAGTAGGCAGGGGTCTGTTCTGGCTCCAGCTCTGCCACCACCATGCTAGGTCCCTCTCTGGGCTCCTCTGTCCCTCTCTGGGCTCAGCCTCTTCATCTGTACCCTAAAGTAGTTGCACTGGAGGTCCTGTTTATCTTCTCACACCCAACATTCTGTGACGCTGATTTGGCACTAGATACCAGGCATGTAGAGGAAGCCAGCGAGCCTCTCTGTCCACCTTCTGTCTCAGTGTCACTTGGACCACTTCTCCGCTGAGCCCCTGAAACCTTTGGTGAGTTTCAGTTCTCTGTTTCCAGAGAGATCAGGCAATAAAGTGAGCTGATCTGAAAGCTACAGTGCAGCTGTGTCACCTCCTGTTACACTTTCCAGTGGCTGAGAGGGATGTCCACAAACGGGATCTCAGCTACAGGGCCCTGCCTGTCCAGCCAGCTCTCCCCTCATCCTCCACCCTCTCTCCCATTGCTCACTGGGCTCCAGCCACAGCAACCTTCTTGCCAGTCTTCTCACGTGCCCCACTCCTTCCTGACAACAGCATCCTAGAACCTGCCATCTCCCCTGCCTGGTGGGAGCCTCCTCACTGCTCCCACTCCTTTCCTCCCACCAACCGACCCTCCTTTAGGTCTCTCCTCCAAGGTCATCCCAAGAAGCCTGTCCTGAGTTCCACGTGAGTTCCTCGGATACCCTCATCACAATGGAAACATCACCTTGGGGTCATTTGCCATTTAAGAGCCATCTCCTCACTTGGACTTAGTTCCCTAAGGCAGAAGTACATCAGTTTTAGTCACCAATTTTGTCAGAGCCAAGCTGTCCCCCATTATTTATTCTCATGTTCTTTCACAGTGACAGACCTTCTGGTTTTTAGCCTGATCTATGTACACCCAAAATAAAGACCACACCTGCCAGCCTCCTTTGTACCTATGTATAGCCATAAGCCCAAGTCCTGGCCAATGGGATGTGAGTGGGCAAGAGGAACACAACTCTAGGCTCTGCCTTTCCTTCTTCTTATGGTGGAATATAGGTGTGACCAGAACTTTACTTCATAAATGCCAAGCAAAAAAGAGGAAGGGTCTGACCAACAACACAGGCTGGGACTTTGACAAGAGAGAATGTCCTGGTCATGGTCCTCCAGAGAAACAGAACCAATAGGATAGATAGAGATTCCTATATTAGAGGAACTTTATAATAATAGAAATTGGCTCACATGATTATGGAGACTGAGAAGTCTCACAACCTGCTGTCTGCAAGCTAGAGGCCCAGGGAAGCTGGTGGTATGGTTATAGTCTAAGCCCAGAGGAATGAAAGCCAGGAGAGCCAAGGGTGTTAAGTCCCAACCAAACTCTGAGGTATCTAGAACCAGGAACGCTGATGTCTGAGGATGGCTGAAGATGGGTGTCCCAGCTCGAGCAAAGAGCAAATTCATCCTTCCTCTGCCCTTCTATTCTATCCCGACCCTCAGTGGATTTAATCATAACCACTTGCATTGTTGAGAGTGATCTACTTTACTCCACTGATTCCAATGCTTATCTCTTCCAGAAACACTCTCACAGACACATCAGAAGTATGTTTAGTCATCTGGGCATCCTTTAGCCCACTCAAGTTGACACATAAAGTTAGCCATGACAGAGACGTAATCCCCTGTCTTGTTTGAGCCACTGTCATTCTGGGTCTATGTCACAGTAACCCAAACCCCAAAACCATACCCCAAATCATGACCCAGTCTACTGCTGTCTATGGTAGGCATTTAGTAAATATTTACTGATCGAGAATGAATGAATGAGTGAGGAAAATATTGTAGACCTAATGGTTGTAAGGTGCAAGCCTATTCTGGATTTAAAGAGATTGTATGGGCTGACTTGGGACCTAATCAACATTATTTTCTTGAAGCAACATGGTTCAGGTCCTCCACAGGCTGGCCTGTGTGACGCAGACAGTGACAGGGCTCTTTGGCTTAGAAACAGGGTTGCTTGATCCTCCTGCACCAGACAGAGCCCTCAGATGCAAGGAGACTCATCTGATAGCTAGATGCTTCTCAGCAATATGGGGTGCCCCTTTTACCCAGGGTTCTGCCAATGGGAAGCCATTTCGATAATGGCTAGGACATGCCAAAGTCCTAAAAAGTGGAAGCCTGGCTAAAGTTTACCCAAAGTTGTTTGTAAGGTAGGTGACTTTTTTTTAGTGTATTCAAAGGCTTTGGCAACTGGTGATAGAAGATATATATAATATTTTGACAAACAGGGCTGTCAGGACAGACACTACACGAAAAGTAGTAGAACTTGAAAATGTCCAGGATATCTCCAAGATTCCTAATTGCTGATGCTGAGATATCACTCTTTGGGTTACAGTGACCATGTTGATTTTGAAATGCAAATAAGTATGGGAAGGGCATCCTGTGAGCCATTCTCAGTGATTTGTACCTGAGTGGGTGTGGCTTTATGAAAACTTGCAGGTCAGGTTGGAATGGAAGGAGGAGAGAAAGGATGGGGCTGGACAAAGCGATTAGGGAGGACAAAGCTGCAGGGAGCGCAGTGAAAGCTGATGGAAGAATGGGGCACCAACCCCTAGTGTCCCAAAGAGGCAGGCCTTTCATCCCACCAGGGACTTCAGACTCTGTCCCCTTTCGGAAGTACCAAGCCGGACAGTGGCTCTGAGTTCCCCTGGTCACTGCTCTCCTCAGTGGGAAGGGTTACCTGAGGCCACTGAGGTCAGCTCCTTGCCTCGAGGCAAAGATCTTTCTAGGCCATGCTGGACAGATATGAGTTGGCCTAAATCTAGGCTGCACGTGTTATTAATTAACTACAAAAGCCACAAGCTCAGGCAGATTCTGTGCCTTAGGTTCTCTTCATTCCTTCTAGACATGTTGTGCAGGTGGGCCCAGGCCTCAGAAACTGAGAGAACCGAAGTTCAGGCTTAGCAAAGAAATACATTAGCAGGTGATTATATGCTCTGTGAAAGTCTCCTGTACAAAGGGGTGTCCCAGGACACCGCTTTCAGCAGGCCCTGCCAGGGAGGCGCGGCTCCACCTGGACTCACTATTGTTCAGGGGGTCCTGGGGGCTGAGGGCTGAGCAGGAGAAAGCAACTGGTGAGAGGAAATAGAGGGAAGCTCCAGCCTGGTCCCACCTGTCCTCACTCTGGGGTAATAAGGCAAATCATTGCCCTGCTCTGAATGCCAGTGTCCTTCCTGAACAGGGTTTGCTCTCCATCCCCTCCCCCACCTCCCAATGCTCAGTGCAATCTCTCAGGGCTGCTTCTGAGCTGTGTGACCTTGCACAATTGACAGAGTCTCTCTGACCCATGTTTTTCAGCCATAGAAAGGGGAAAGTCATAACAGCTATTTCAGAGGCTTCTTGCTAGAATTAAATGGGCTAACAGTGACAGGCACCTGGAATGGAGAGGCTGACCCATTCAATGCAGTTAGTAGTCCTCTTGGTCACAAATCTGAGTTCTGTTCTCTTCCACCCAGCATAGCCATTGACTTCTTTTTTAAAAAATATTTTATTTCTTTTTTTTTATCTTTAGAGAGAGGAGAAGGGAAGGAGAAAGAGAGGGAGAGAAACATCAGTGTGTGGTTGCCTCTCACATGGCCCCCACTGGGGGCTGGGCAGACAACCCAGCATATGCCCCGACTGGGAATCGAACCGTGACCTTTCGGTTCGCAGCCTGTGTTCAATCCACTGAGCTACACCAGCCATCAACTTCTGAATCACATCATTTAGTCCCAGCAGTGTATTTCTGTTGCAGAGGGTCAGAGGCAGTCCCAGCACTCAGTCTTCCTGTAGCAAATCTTCCTCAGCCTCCAGTCAGTGCCTGAAAAATTCAGATCTCTCTCTTTCTCTCTTTCCCTCTTTCTCTCTCTCATACACACGAACTCACTCATACATACACAGACACACACCCTGCTTTTCCACCTCCCTAGACAAATCGGAACACTGGGCCACCCTAGGTGCCAGTTACAGCCAGGGGCCACCCAAATAGCTGTTGCTGAATAGTGGTTACTCCCTTTAAACAGGTGTGTGGTTCTTCCTGTCCCTGCAGAGCCCCTGCGCCCCTCTGTGGCTCTCATGCTCTGACTGCCCCTCTGGACCTCTGTGACCACACATAATCCTTGCTGCTCTGTGTCCGTTAAGCTCATCTCCCCCCTGCCCCCACCCCCGCCCACATTTTCTCTCTGCACCTGATTTCATGTACCAGCACAGTGTGGAGCTCAGAATTGAACACAGAAAATGCTCACTGACTGATTCTTTGCTCTTCCTCACAGCACCTCTGTGACCGACCACCCCATGGGGCTGGCACAGGCTTTGGGACAGCATCTTTGAGCCAGATGAAACTGGACCAATGCCCATTTAAGGAAGATCAGGACTCAATTTCTGTGCTCTCTGGGAGTGTGGGGTACACATGGAAGCTTCCCTGTCAAGAGAGACACAGGGCTGACACAGGGATGCACAGCCATGAGCCAAGCAGCCAGGGGCCTGCTTATTCTTCTCCACCACAGTAGTATTTGGGGGAGGCCTGGGGCTCTCTCTACCTCATCTCACCCATGTCAGAGACAGAGGAACAGGCCATCCCTTTATAGTGTTCCTCTGAGCATCTGCCCTCATCTTCATCTGTAGGACCAGAGCAATTGTCAGCATAGGGCTGCCTGCCAGGTTCCACTTCCTAGCCCCCTATTTGCTGGATGTGGCCACGTGCCTGAGTCCAAGGCAAAGGAATGTGAGCAGAAATAAGCTGCACTGCTTCCAGTCCCAGCCTCTGAACACTTCCCCTGCACACCTCTTTAAACTCTTTTTTTCTTCCCATTGACCAGGCTATTGATGCCCAGTGTAGCATTTGAGGCCTTGTGTTGAAAATCACAGAACTATAGTCAGCTCAAATCCTAAAAGGGCTCCATGTGGAGTGAAGCCCCTGCCAATCTAGGACCTCCACCCTAGACTTTTCGATGAGAGAGTGATATATTTCTCTCAGGTTTAAGCTGTAATATTTTGGGGTGCTACAGTGGTTCCGCTTCCCCTAATTAACACCATCTTTTAGAAGCAGACTCTTAGTCTTGAGATGTATGGATGCCCCGGGCTATCAAGAGTTTGGTTATACATGTAGACAGAGCACATGAATTGGGGGAAATCTTGGGCACACATAGGTGACATGTCTGCTGGTCAGTTACCATGCTGCTGCCAAGGAAAGCTCATCACCAGGCAGTGGGAGGCAGTCATGAGGGCTCCTCAGCCTAAGTGTGGCCCAGCTGTGACACCATGGTGGGGTCCTACTCTCCAACCCAGTAACACCCTCACTCTGGTACCACCACCTAACACCCATTAGGCAGTGCCTGGGGTCCTGGCCCTCTGGGTGCTGCAGCTTAGGTCCCTAACTAAGTACCCTGGTCAGTCTGCCCTGTCTCCCTCACACACAGAACCTGGACAACCCGGGTCACTCAAGTTTTCTGAGGTCCTCTGCCAATGACAGGTAGTGGTGACATTGGTTCCCAGAACTCAGAATGACCAGAACTCTGTAACTCTGAAAGCTTAATCTTTCAAAGCCATTGATGACACTATGATCTTCAAAAGCTGAGCTGCCTTTCTCTCCATCTTTCCTGACACGACCGTCCAACCCTGGGAGGCCTATACATGGACAACTATGGCTTGCATCATGGCTGAGGGTAAGGATCTCCAGAATGCATGTGGCAGTTCACCCCACTCTGGTAGCAGGGACAGGTGCAATCATTCCCATCTGATGACTCCTTGTGAGGGAAATGTGTCAGTGACAGAGCCTCACCACATGAAGGTGTCTAGATGTCTTCCCCTTGTCACAAGGGTGTCTGCAGCATCTTCAGTGATAGGCCTGGGCAGCTGGGATTGTGTCGGGTTAAATGCACATGGTCCCCAGGGCCAGCTCATTATGGCTGAAGGGCTTCCAATCAACACTCCACCTGTCAGTGTGGCTTTCCAGTTGCTTTCTATGCTCATTTTTAGTGTTTTCCCCCAAAATTAAGAGGACAAAAATTAAAGAGGACACTGACTTTACATGTCAGAGGCTTGGACCTGAGGGAACTTGTTGGGAGAACAGGCAAGTTCTTCTGGCCTCATGGCGCTTGAGCAGATCTATCTGTAGGGCTAGCTGTGACTCCAAAGCCAGCTGAGGAGGGTTCATGATGTATTATTTACAAGCCCAGCCCTTATTTGTGCCCTACCTGAGGTCTTTTTGCAGAATGGGCTGAGGACTGGGTGGGAAGAGCATGGGGTTTGGAACCCAAGACTTTTGGGTTCAGATCTTTCCCTCCATACTTAACAATGTCTCAGTTCACAAAAGACATCACTTCTCTCTGAAAGAGGGACTTCTGGCCAAGATGGAGGCATAGGTAGATACACTGTGCCTCCTTGCACAACCAAAAGAAGGACAACAACAAATTTAAAAACAAAAAACAAACAGAAACAACAGAAAATCAAACTGCGTGGAAGTCTGACAACCAAGTAGTTAAAGAAGAAACATTCATCCATACCTGTAGGAGAGGCGGTGGCTGGCAGACTTGGCAAGGAGACTGCTGGTAGGGCAGGCAGTCCCACATTTGCATGTGGATAAACCAGGAGAAACTACTGAGGAATGAGATGGACAACACAATTCAGGGTCCTGGTGTGGGAATACAAAGCGTCAAAACCTCTGACTAAAAAAATCTGTGAAAGTTCAGGTGGCAGGAGAAACTCCCAGCGTCACAGGAGAGTTCTTTGGAGAGATCCACAGAGTCCTTGAACATACACCGAACCACTGGCCTGGGAATCAGCGCCAGAAGGGCGAAATTTGCTTGTGGGTAGAAGAAGTGACTGAAAGCTGGCCAAGAGCTGCACAAGTGGCATTGTTCCTTCTTGGACCCCTCCCCCCACATACAGTGCCACAATGCAGTGTTGTGGGTTGCCCCACCCTGGCCAATACCTAAGGCTCCACCCCTTACTATCTAACAGGTGTGCTGAGACAGAGAAATATGGTCCAAATGAGAGAACAGATCAAAGCTCCCCCCGCAAAAAATACAACTAAGCAATGAAGAGATAGCCAACCTATCAGATGCAGAGTTCAAAACACTGGTGATCAAGATGCTCACAAAATTGGTTGAGTATGGTTGCAAAATAGAAGAAAGAGTGAAGGCTACAAAAAGTGAAATAAAGAAAAATGTACAGGAAACCAACAGTTAAGGGAAGAAAACAAGGACTCAAATAAATGGTTTGGGCCAGAAAGAAGAAATAAACATTCAGCTAGAACAGAATGAAAAAACAAGAATTCAAAAAAACCAGGAGAGGCTTAGGAACCTCCAGGACCACTTTAGTCATTCCAATATCCAAATTGTGAGGGTGCCAGAAGGAGAAGAGGAAGAGCAAGAAATTGAAACTTTATTTGAAAATATAATGAAGGAGAACTTCCCCAATCTGGCAAAGGAAATAGACTTCCAGGAAGTCCAGGAAGCTCACAGACTCCCAAAGAAGTTGGACCCAAGGGAGCACACACCAAGGCACATCATCATTACATTAGCCAAGATTAAAGAGAAGGAGAGAATCCTAGAAGCAGCAAGAGATAAGGGGACAGTCACCTATGAAGGAGTTCCCATCAGACTGTCAGCTGATTTCTCAAAACAGACCTTGCAGGCAACAAGGGGCTGACAAGAAATATTCCAAGTCATGAAAGGCAAGGATCTACATCCAAGATGACTTTATCCAGCAAAGCTACCATTTAGAATGGAAGGGCAGATAAAGTGCTTCCCATATAAGGTCAAGTTAAAAGAGTTTATCACCAAGCCCTTATTATATGAAATGTTAAAGGGACTTATCTAAGAAAAAGAAGATAAAAACTATGAACAGTAAAATGACAACAAACTCACAACTATCAATAACTGACCTAAAAAAAAAACAAAAACAAAAATGAACTAAGCAAACAACTAGAACAGGAAGAGAATCACAGGAATGGAGATCAAATGGAGGGTTATCAGTGGGGAAGGGGAAGTAGGGATGGGGGAAAATGTACAGGGAATAAGCAGCATAGATGATAGGTAGAAAATAGAGAGGTGGAGATTAAGAATAGTATAGAAAATGTAGAAGCCAAAGGACTTACATGTATGGCCCATGGACATGAACTAAGGTGGGGGGATGCGAGTGGAGGGGTGTGCAGGGTGGAGGGGAATAAATGGTAGATAAATAGGACAACTATAATAGTGTAATCAGTAAAATATGTTTTAAAAAACAAACAAAAAAGATATCACTTCTCTGGACCTCAATTTGCTCATCTGTAAAAGAAACAAGAAATACTCACAATGGACTTGTTGTGAGAATTAAAAACCACAAGTTTTTTAGTATCTATCACAGGCTGTAGGTGTGACTATTAAGAATAAGAAAGCTTGCTTTTCCAACCTGTTAACTGACTCACTGCTTGGTTATGGTGACTTCCTTTGTGGCATCTAGGCCAGCCCTCGCTCTTCCTTCTTACTTGATGCAAAGAGATGGCTCCTAACCTTTGCCCAAGCTCTTCCCACCCACAGGGAGCACTTTTAAGAAATACTTCTATGCCTGTGTGTGTACACATGTGTGCATATGTGTGCATGCTAAGGATAAGAAGAGGGCAATTTTGCCTTTGGTCTGCACATGTTCTGCCCTGGAGTGGGGAGTTCTGTGAATATGCTGGGGATGATCTTGGGCCATACTGTAAGAGCAGCTTCATCTGTGGTAGGATGGGTAAAGCAGAGTGGGGAGACAGGTGGGTCCAGGCAGGGGTGGAGGGCTTGTAGCTCCACTCCCATATTGGTGTGCACAGCTCCTCTTCCCCCAAGGAACATTTGTATTTTTACAGAATGTTCCAGCTAAAGGGACAGACAGCCACAGGAAGCACAAACTGAGCTTTGGGAGGTGGGAAAGTTTCCCTGACTTTCCAGATCTGTCTAGCCTCGAGCCCTGGCCTGTGCAGATATCTAGCTGTCTCTGAAGTACCGGCACACTCACCAACTGGGCTCAGTCACCTGCCTCCAGTCCTAAGGCCAGAGTCAAAAGCCTCTCCACTGGCTCTGCCAAGAGCAAAGGCCTCAGGGGGCCCTTGTCTCTGTTCTAAGAGGCCATTAGGGCTGGTGTTCCCTATGTGGGGGCAGAGGTTTTTGAGCTGTCTGCAGATAAGACCTACCCATGGGCTGTGCAGGTGAGTCCTCAGGCCCACTTACCTGTACATACTGAGCCTCAGCCATACTCGTGTTGCAGGTACTCAGACATGCCCAGAGCAGTCCTTGCCTGTGGGGAACATGTGGCCAGAGTTGGAGATGGGACATGAAGATGAAGAGTTATCCACATAGGAGGCTCGGAATCCTTAGGGACAAGTTCTGTGGATACCCCCAAGGAGGGAGAGGGCTGAGGGCTATGGGTGGAGAGGTCATTTGGGAAAGCTTCCTAAAAGAGGTTGGGAAGGGACCACAATTCTGAAAGGAACAGGCCGTCCTTTGTGACACATCTGCTGCTCTTATTTCACACTTTTTTAGAGTCCAGTCCTGAAATTGTCCACTCAAACACACACAAGGACCACATACCTGAGAGGGTAGTTCAGCCTATCCAGGGAGTGGCTACAGGAGCTGTTTTCCATGGAGTGGCATCATTGGCCACCAGACGGCATCTTGGGGGCCCAGCTACAGTTCTGGATGCCCCTGTGCCCCGGACTGCTACTGTGTCTCAGCTCCTTGCTCTTCCTTCTCTGCCACCCTCCACACCCTCTTCTCCCTGCCCTACAGGGTTGGGGCTGTCTGTCCATGGCTGACCCGTGGCCTCTGCTCCACAGCCTTTGTTCACTGCCTGCTGTCACTCGGCAAGTCTCTCTCTTGATCCCTCTCCGTGGGTTTTGCCTCCAAAAGCCCCAAGAGGGAGCATCGGCTTGGCTGGACAGACACTGGGCTCTGGGCCATGCTTTGATCGAGGCTACTGACAGCTGTCCCAGGTCAAGGCTCCAAGTCTGGTCTCCCCAGCTGTGATCAGAGCCATGGTTGCACAGAGGTGCCAGCGCCTCAGCAGGGCAGCACCAGCACAGGGAGAGTCCTGTGTGTGTATACAGTGGGTGGGGTGATATTCTCAGAATCCCACATATCCACAACCACCCCAGCGATCCCAGGCCCTGCCGTGCTCTCAGGGAATGCCACAGGCAAGCAGCCACAGAGACTGACCCGTCTGAACACTGCTCCTGGAATGCTTTGCACCAGAGCCTCCAAGAGACCCAGATGGCAACCACAAAGCTCTTGACAAGCTGTGAGCCTTGTACTCTGACACAAGCCAAGGAGCCAGGCACCATGAGCAGCTTGGCTTTCACCAAACTTCAGGACTTTGGGGACAAAAAAAATGTGTTCTTTTCTGCCCCACCAAACACTTGTCTCCTTTGATTCTGCCATTGTTCTTTCCAGGGAAATTTAATTTTAAAACAAAAAAACATGTTTTCTAACATTCATGTGCCAACAAATATTTGATTTGAAAGCAATTCTTTGCTCAATTTAAGCTTTGTTTTTAAAGGACAGGACAAAACATCATACCCATCTGTCCAGAGTGTGTGCTTGGGCCAAGCACAGCCCTGTGTTCCTTTGAGCTTAGAAATCTCGCCTGAGATGTCCAACTGAAACCTCATCGTGAGGGTCACATAGTTTCCAATTTGGAGGGTGAGGCAGGGCTGGGTGGCAGCAAGATTGTCCCTTTAAATAAGGAAGAACCAAAATACCCTGGACTGCGCATTATCAACCCCGGATGTGTCTCCACACACAAAGTCACTTGCAAAATAAAGACACTTTTGAGTTCTGGCCAAGGGCGATGTTGAAAACAATGGAGCTAATAAGTAACCAGTTGCTGGATAAAAATCAAACTGTTTTGTTTTGGGGGTTGTCTGCTTCCGAGAGCAGTTCTTCCACCATAGGGGAAGACCCCTCCATTGCACAGTCTCCTCTTCCACTGCAAAAACACTGTCCACACAGGCCTGGGGTCCAGGGCTGTCCTCCATGCCCCACGGGTGCACTTGGCACTACAGCATAAGCCAAATCACACCCCTAAACCATCCCTGAAAATGAAAAAAATGCCAGGTCCATCAGTGGCAAGAGACCTTGAGGGTAACTGGGTACTACTGGGCATCTGGACTTCTCTTAGATAACCCCTGTGTTGGGGCTGGGGAGGAGCAACATGAGGCCAGGATCCAGGTCACCTGGAGGCGCCAGCTCTTGGGGAAAATTTGAGGGTGGGATGTATGCTCAGCCACTCACAGGCTGAGTGAGGCTTTGACTTTTATTCTTTGACCCTTCTCTTGGGCACAAGTCCTGGCCTACAGTGTTTGGAAATGAGCCACATCCACTACAAGCTTTATCCTCCAGGGATGGATGTGCCCTGGTAGGCCCTGGGTGACAGAGCAGAGCCTGTTGGTGGTAAGGGGGAGGTCACCCACTCAGGTGTCTCCACACCCACAGGTGGGGGTGTAGATGGGGGAAGCCTAGCAGAGGGTGGTGGGGGCTGGTCAGCCAGAGCCCACAGCCACTGTCTAGGGCCTGCCAACTGTCACATCAGTGAGAGTCTGACCAGTAGACTTGGATCTTGTTACGGTGGCATCTTTACAGCAAACCTGTATTTTACAGCAATAACCAGCCTATGTTATAACTAGCATGACGGGTTTACCATCATCATCATCTTGTGTGGCATTCATTCCAATAAATGACCCTGATCCATTTTATTCTTTCATCCATCCATCCACTTAGTGATTCCTAAGCATTTTCTGTGCCAGTAACTGGGGAAAATGCAAAGGCAGGTAACCTGCAGTTTCCCATTTCAGAGCAGGAGTTTATGGCTGGCTGTGGGAAGACAGATGATGTTGCAATAAATTACCCCAGACCAGCAAAACGCCTGCAGCCAGCTGAGTAAGCCTAAATGTTTGTGTGTACATGTATGCTCATGTGCTCCTGGGTATGCACACACATGTGCAAGAGAGAGAGAAAGAGAAAGAGAACAGGCCTAATCTGTAGGGTTCTTGCTCTTGTGAACAAGGACTCATTTATCCATCAAAAACTTATTGAGCACCTGCTGTGTACCAGCTGACGAGAAGTGAATATGCCGAGAACCCAGCTTGAATGAGCCCCTGTCCAACGCCAAGAAGAGACCTCAGATGTTGGTTGCTCATTTCACTCCCTGAGGCAAGGACAAGATCAGTACAGATTCCATCATGCCCAGATCTAGTGAGAAGTCCCTGTGCCCAGCTACAGCTGCAGCATTTGTCCCTTCACTGAGGTTGGATCCAAGCTGAGCCACTGATGCTCTTCCCCAATCTCGTTGTGACCAACAGCTGGGATTGAGGCTGTATCTAAAGCCATTGCACACAAAAAATTATAACTAGTCTCCTCAAAAATGTTCTTAATCCCTCCTACCATTCAGTCATTGAGTATTTATTAAGCCCAGCACTGTATATGCATCATCTCATTAATTTTTCCAATAACTTTATTACAAAGGCATCATAACCCCATTTTATAGATGAGAAAACTGAGGCCCAGAGAAGTGGCATATATACATTTCAAACCTGTGTGGTAGATACTCGAAAGCCATGTGCAATTTTCATTTATTCAGCATCCAATTGCTATTGAATGCTGAATAAATGCTGATTAAATGCTGAAGTGTGCTGGGCTTGGGGCCGGGTGCTAAGAACAGAGGAGTGAGCCACGCTCATTAAGGGATATGGACACCAGCTCAGCAGAGGGTACAGGATCGGGACTCTGCTTTGGCTCAGAGTCAGATGGTGTCATCATCAGCCCTCCAGACTGTCAGACCAGCCATCCAATTCCCCCACTTTGCCACCTGTGGATACCCAGGTAGGCAAGAGAACATATTTCCCTGTCCCCTCTCAGGTGAAACATGAGCACCAGGGAAGGGGTATTTACACACTGGTCTCATGGCTCCTAAGGTGAAGTCACAGGTGGGCACAGCCTTGTCTTTTGTAACATCAAAAGCTGAGTGGTCAGCTCCTCATTTTCAGTGGGCTCCACTACTGGCTGCAGGATTATCTCCCAGCCATAGACACTCATCCTGCAATTTTTGATGTGGGAGCCAGAAAAATGCTGCAGAGTCATGACAGCTGCCTGGCCTGGTCTGGCCTGACAAGGATTGTAAGATGCACCCAGATTTCAAAGATGCCAAAAAGTAAAATATCTCGCTCAGAGTCCATCAAGTATGGTAAACCAGGAAATAGGGCAGGTGCCACCTTGAGCAGAGACCTGCCCGGTGGTGCTCAGTTCACAAACCCTTCCCCAAGTGGCTGACTGGGCTGCACCAAGAGGCAGCAGTGCATTCTGACTGGGTCGGAATGCACGATATGGAGGCTGTTGGCCAGGCAACATTCATTGACTGACCGTCCTGGGCCTCCGTTCCCTTGCATGTGAGATGGAGCCAATAACGCCCAACTCACAGAGTCATTGTGAGGCCTAAATGAGAACATGTAGAAAAAAATCTAAGTGTAGACACTGACCGTATATGCAGAGCCTCTAACTGTCTGGTGGTTGCAAGGTTGAGATGTGACATCCGACAGGCCTGGCCCTACCCTTCCTGGCAGTCTTTCTTCTTAATCCCTCTGCAGATCGCAAGAGAGTTGTGGAGCCCACCTTGTGGGGCTGTGACAGTGAAACAAAGCAACGGTACGTGAAGGAAGATAATGACGACTGTCACAGGCTCTGTCTTCCGGGCAGCACGAAGCAAAGTCCTGGGCCACTGAGTGAGTCTGCTCTCTGTCTCCAGCTGGGCATCCTCAGTCCCTGGCCCCTTAGTTGTTCCCAGTTCCGTCCAACTTCTCAAACCTTTAGCTGGTCAGCCCCATGAATTTGAAGGACCAAGGTCAGAGGCAGAAATAAAGACAAAACAGCTTAGTAGTCTTAAATTACCACTTTAACTATTATGGGAGGGCAGAAAAACAAAGATGAGATATTAGGCAGGGCCAAGCAGATCTAGGTGGCCTTGGGCAAGCCCCTTCGCCTACCCATGGCCCTGTCCCTTTGAGCTCAATATGGCAGTAACTATTACAACCATTATTACGATAGCTGTAGTCTCCTCTGTGTAAGGAGCCAGGGCTCTGTCCCAGGCTCACTGCTCTTCTCTGCACCAGCTCATGGCTCAAGGACTCACAGTAAGGTCTATTTCCAGCCAGGCTTCTCCCCTGAACTCCAGATGCTCACATCCACCCATTACTGTGACATCTGCCTGGAGGTCTCATCCCATCTCTGTATCAGTTTTTCCAGAACTGAACTCCCGGACACCCTGTGGGAGGCCCAAATGCTGTGGAGGCTTCCACGAGAAGAAGGGGGTGCTTGCCTCATAGAAAAGGAAACCTGAAATCACTGGGGGGGGAGAGGAGACTGCACAGGAACTATGTGCCTACATCAATGAATGCTGAACTGACAGGGTGACTCAGCTGGAGGTAAGATTCTGCCACATCATGTTGCTAGGGTACCGAGTTCCAGATCATATAGGGAGAGAGGTCACTGTTTCCCTGATGGGGTCAGCCTTGGCTCTGGGTTTCAACTCTAACATATCAGAAAAAGTGGACATCTTGGACCCTACTGCAGGATGTTATGGAAAGGCCGGGAGCAGGGCCAGCCCTCTGTGGGTGCTCTGTGGGTGCTGCTGCCTGGCTTGCAACCTCTGAGTGCTGGGCAGCCCAGATCTTCAGGCTTCCCCATCTCAACCCAATGGCACCACACACCTTAGCCCCCTTCCTTAATACTGTCATTTTTGTTGCTAAAATTCTATGATAAAGAAATTTAAAAAAAGGA